CCTCATAATATAACTGTTGTTAAATTAGATCCTTATTGGATTTTGATTATGACGTTCAGATTGGTGTTTGTTTTATTTAATGAAAGGTGTCATATACAATTATAGCAGAAGTAACAATATTTGAAATTTACCAAATATTTAGAAACACACTGTATGTGTGAAACAGCATTCAGACTCTGATTCTTTTAATTATTCAAATGAAAGCCTTCATAAAAAATGCACCATTGCTCTATTCTTAGATACAGCAGTAGAAGCATATTTATGAGCTGTACATGCAAACTGCATTAAAAACGTGTGCAGAAGCTTTAAAACAGCTGTTAATGGCTATTTGAATGGCAATTTGATTTTGTTAATGATCGTCTTGGGGAGCTTATTATATGTTCCTCAAGGCTGGTAACCACAATGAATGTGTTATAATTATAGGTGGGTCAGATTAATGTTTTTTTTTTTTTTATTCTAGATGAATCTCATTGTAATCTTGGATGTAATTTTAGATCAGGGGTTCTTAACTGGTTTGGACCCACATTTTTACATGGTCATCAAGCCTCGACCCAAATTTTTGGGAACTATAATACAGTTTTAGGAATTATACTTAATTTGCATTTATTTGTTCACATACACAAGTAGTGACAGATAAACCATAAGAAACTCACCAAGACTTACAAATAAACACTATTTTATTGCTGTCATTTAACAAAATGGATCAAATTATAGAAATATTACAAAGTAAAATTGACAAATACTGTTAATAAACTGTTAATAAAACATGTCTTCTGGTTTCTAAATGTTGTTTTGGGCAAGCAGTGGCGCATTAGGTAGTGCTGTCGCCTCACAGCAAGAATGTTGCTGGGTCGCTGGTTCGAACCTCGGCACAGTTGGTGTTTCTGTGTGGAGTTTGCATGTTCTCCCTGCCTTCGCGTGGGGTTCCTCCGGGTGCTCCGGTTTCCCCCACAGTCCAAAGACATGCGGTATAGGTGAATTGGGTAGGCTAAATTGTCTGTAGTGTATGAGTGTGTGTGTGTGTGTGTGTCTGTGTGTGTGTGTATGTTTCCCAGAGATGGGTTGTGGCTGGAAGGGCATCCGCTGTGTAAAAACTTGCTGGATAAATTGGCGGTTCATTCTGCTGTGGCGACCCTGGATTAATAAAGGGACTAAGCCGACAAGAAAATGAATGAATGAATAAATGTTGTTTTATTTAGAAGGTTTCATGCTCTCTTTTGAGAGCACCTCACTACATATGACACTAAGGCTTTAAGTCTTTTTTGTTGTCAATATATATATATCCATACTTTACATGTTCGTGGTCGTACTTGGGCTTTGACATATTTGTTGCTATAATTAAATGAAATTTCACATGTCAAACAGTAGGTTTGTCGCGCACCCATTTCAAAATAAAAGTCTAGTATAAGCAAAATAAGTAAATTTTTTTACTTTTGTTGTTTTGTTTTTTTTTGACCACACACTTCTCGACCCACTGAAAATATTCCCGCAACCCACTTTTGGGTCACGACCCACCAGTTGATAAACACTGATCTAGATTAATCTAGATAAAAATGGCTCATTTGAATTCTGCCGAAGGCATTCAGAGTATGTGTGCTACCCAAATAATAACTAAAAGTAAGTCTTTGAGAACGGGTTTCTCAAGCCAGGTGGCGCATTAGACCAGGGGCTCATCTCCTGTTTCCAAAAAGCATCACCAACTGCTTGAGAAACTGTTGTACTATGATAATTGGTGATGAAAATAAATGATGTTCAATAAAATGTACTTGTGTTTACTAACTGTTTATTCAGTTAAACATGATTGTTGAACTGTAGGCCTACATAAGCTCGAAACAGCAATTTTTGATGACCTTACTCCGACTAAAGTCATCACTGAACTAAACAGAAATGTAATTAAGACATGTGGAGTGTGCAGATGTGCACAATCAAACTATTACTGTCATGTAGGCATATTTCGCCATATTTTCCAACGAGATCCACACACGCGGTTGTCAGTAAAGGACCACACACAAACACATTGTTAAATGCGGAAGTTTTTTTTTCCATTAGGCGTTCCTTATTAATTCCATAACACTCTCACAAGTCCTTTCTCCTTATTTGCATCTAATACCCCAGTTTGTCATGGAGGCATGAATGAAATGTTCATGAGTGAAAGTGAAACTGCCGAACTGCAGTTAAAGTCACTCAAAATTACAGCAAACTCTTACATGAAAGCACTTCACGTAAACATCTTAATTATATCATTGTCTATTAATGCAAAAAACTAAATTACTGATGTCCATGTAAGCGTAGTCAGTAGTGTCTTCGAAGTAAGTGAAAGATCCTGTTACCACGACTGGGGTGGAGTGACAGGAGATAACAGGAGGTAAGTGTAACGGGGAGACTGACACGGAGGGATCCATTTTGCAGTATTTATTAAGTCACACTTAAACATCAACACCTCGCACGGTTGTGCGAACATACAACATACAACTCAACGATGATAAGCAGATAACAGAGGCAGAGTGATTACCAGGCTTGAGTCAAGGGCAGGCAGCGTGGTTCAGAGTCCGTAATACAGGCTTTAGTCAGGGGCAGGCAGCGAGAATCAGAGTCCGTGTAATCAGGCTTTAGGTCAAGGGCAGGCAGAAGACAGAGCAGAGTCGAGGAACGGGCTGAAGTGGTAAACGGGAGATCAGGCAGGATAGAACGCTCAGAAATGCTGGCCGGGGCTAAACAAGACTTCGCAATGGAGTGTGTGTGTGAGCTGCTTATATGTGGTACGTGGGTCATTAGTGAGATGGAGAACAGGTGTGCTGGGATCTGAGTGAGAAGGATGACGTAATGGTTAGAAGTCCGGAGATGGTGACCTCTGCTGGTCAGCGAGGGGAATGACTGGGACTGAGTCGGTGACAGTAAGATCCAATATGCAGTTTATTCAATGTCAGGCAAGCAATGGTCAAATCAGGTGCAAACGGGTATATGAAGGCAGTCCAGAATCGTAAACGTTAAACAGGCAAAAGGTCGAAAGGCAGGCGGCTTAACAGGATAACAAAGGTACAAGGCTAGGATCGAGACACGGAGAACCAAGACAGGGAACCGCGTTGTAATGTTACTCTGGGAAAACAAGACTGGGCCAACTGGTAGCGTGAGAGAGTGGCTTATGAGTGGGATGAAATCAGTCTGTGAACAAGGTCCAGCTGGTGATGCAATCAGGATAGATGACTGAGCAGGCGTGTGTGTCTGGGAGCAGTGCATGTATGAAAATGTAGTCCTGGGGAATGCGGAAATGAGAGTTCGTGTGAGAACCAGCGATCGTCTTGGAAGTGATCGCTGGTTGTGTGACAGATCCAGAGGGGGATCCTGCTGAATTGACTTTCGTTCATCGTCATTCATTTAAAAAAGCACCCGGTCCATTTTATTTGTATATGTTTTACTCAAACGCATAAACTCAACAGGTGCCTGATAGTTAGATGTGGAGCTAAGGGAAATCAGATTCACTCTAGTGAACTGCATGCACGTTAGGACGTCACTTTTGATGTGGTAATTTCACAGTAGGAACCTGACCTGGCCCTGGATAAGCAGAGGAAAATGTCATGACAAAACCTGCCAAATTACCTCGGAACTCCCAAAATCCATACATGATTTTAAGTCAATAATATGTTGATATTTACAGTTATTTGAGAAATGGTATGAAATAACCAATGCTAAGAGCTTTATTTTTTTGTCACAAACATTTGGTGAGCTTATTAGATAAAACTACACTGGAAAAAAGTATTCATTGATTTTACTATGTTTTAAGCTTAAGTGGTGCAAACAATTTATATGGGCTGATTTTAAACAAACAAATTAAGTTGAATGTTACTCAATTTTATTTAATTTGCTTAAATTCAGCCCATATAAATTGTTTGGAACAATTTTGTAAATCAATTTTTTTCAGTGTGTTAGTGTTTATTTTTCTGATGATGGACTCGTGAGAGTAGTAGAGAGGACTTGCGAGTCTTGAGTTGTTTTCCTCTAGTGTTTTCTCGATTCCGGTGTGTGTGATAGTCACTTTCTCCCCATATGGCAATTATTCATGCCCACCCCTCAATTTCCTTTTCTTTTGCAATTGGTGAACATTGTAGCTTGGAAACAGAGAGGTCTTTGTAACGCCTTGGGTGTTATGCCAGCACATCCAGAGAGGTGCCAGGAGGTTCCATTCTCTATGCCCACATGGACCAAAGAAGCATTGGAGAGTGATGAGCGTGGTCGCTTGTCAGAGGGCCAGCTCCTTCATGGCCACTCCATACAGCTGAAGGATTTCAGCCTCTAGAACAATAAGCTCTATCTGTCATTAATGTTCCAATACTAAAGCTGAGCAATCCGGCTGCTGTAAAACTGGTTTAAGATTCAACATCAATGATGTACTTTAATACAGGAAATAACACCAGGCAGAATTGACTTGTTTTTTTCCATGTTAATCGCAGAAGTAACTCCAAACATAAAGCTTCAGCCCTGGTTAGTTTTTTGATGTTCTCTCAATATTTTCTTTGTGACTGAACAAAACAGTGTGTCCTCTCCCTGCTGAAAAATCCAGCTTAAACCAGCCTACGCTGGTTGGCTGGTTTTAGCTGGTCAACCAGCCTGGTTTTAGAGGGGTTTTGGCCACTTCCAGGCTGGTTTCCAGTCATTTCCAGCCTGGTTTTAGCTGGTCAGGCTGGAAAGTGACCAGCTAAAACCATCTAAAACCAGCTTGACCATTCTGGTTTAAGCTGGACATAGCTGGTTTTGGCTGGGCTCCCAGCCTGGCTAGGCTGGTCAAGCTGGTTTTAGCTGGTCATCTCCCAGCCTGACCAGCTAAAAACAGGCTGGAAATGGCTGGAAACCAGCCTAAAAGTGGCCAAAACCCCTCTAAAACCAGGCTGGTCGACCAGCTAAAACCAGCCAACCATCCTAGGCTGGTTTAAGCTGAATTTCTTAGCAGGGCTAACAGCTAATTATGTTGTCTTTTAAAAAAAATATTTTTTTCTTTCTTTCAGATCATGCCCCCTAGATAGCAAAGTCTTTGCCTTTCTGGCTGTCGGCCCCTCATTATTAAAGAGGATGCCTCCCCGGAAGCGCACCCAGCCCACATTGGGAATCCTGTGCTGCTTTAAAAGTGGTGAACCCCCTGAGATCAACCTGAAAGACAGTGTGCCGCTGCAGCTTCTGGAGTTCAGCGCCCCCATGCCCCCAGAGGAAGAACTGCACGCTCGATTCTCTGAGTTGGTGGTTAGTATCTTGCAGGCTTTTCTAGTGAGGATTAAAACCATGCCATACATTTGCTTACATCTACATTCATTCAGGGTATCTAGAATGTAAACATCTGACAGGGGTCTGGATGCAGACCTGGTGCAGCTGCAAGCTGAGCTGCATGCCATGATTTTAATATGCACACCTAAACCTACAGTTATGGCACTAGCTCCATTGTGCGCATTGTGTCTAACATAGCTTGTCTGAGACTGCATGTCTCATCTTGCATATGCAAGTCTGCATCCAGCTACTATTAAAAAATCTGAGAGAACAAGTGGAATCACCACAAGTGACTTTACCCCATGTAGATTTTAAGCTTAGTGACAGGGGGGAAAAGCGAATAATAAGGACTCTAATTAATAATTCCTTATTTAATTCCTTTATAGTTGTTTGTTAACCCTCCATGGGAAGCTATAGTATTGTCCCAAACAACATTACATAAAATAAATTAGCTAGAAATTACTAGAAAAATACTAGAAATTATGTCTGTACCAATTAGCTAGATAGCTTCTCATTGCCTTTCTTGCCATATCCAATGAGTTTCTCAGTTACAACTGCCAGGGAAGCATTAAGATACAAGAGTAAAGGTTCAGGAGCTCAACTAAAGCAGCATTTGATCTATATTACAGTGATGTCAAATGAAACATTTTCTTAAAAAATCTCTGTTAAAAATCAAACTTTTATCAGTGAAGCTGGTAATGCTGTGTGTGGAGTTGTTGAATCTTCTGTTTTAATCCAGTTAATTTGGTGTGAGGCTGTTGCTGTATAGTTTTATTTCTTACTGCACTTTTCTTCTCATAGACTTCCATTCATACACACACGAATACGTCAGATTTGAAATGCAAGCTCATGCGACATGTTTCACAGTCTGCTGCGTTGGTGCGAATTCGCATCACATGAGTGCTTGAGACCAAACGAGGATCAAAACATGACCTCTCTGGGCAGAAATTTAAAATATGGACGAATTGCTCACTTTTTAAAATGTCTATCTTGTTTAATCCCGCCCCTTTTTGCAGCGCCGTACAACAGATTTCCGCAAGCTTAAACTCTAGTGTGACCGCATATTTATTCTTTCCTTCAGTGAATGTGCTTGTTAGCAGCAGGTGTTCATCAATGTCAGAATTCACTCATTTGTTGTCATTCACTCTGTCTAGTGGACAAAACTAATCAACTAATTTAGGGACTAGTGAATTAGGGTGTATGATGAAATTTCAGACACTCTGCTTACTTTTTCGAAAACAAAGGTTAAATCGTATTTTGTGCAGAAATAAGCCGTTAATCAGGTTTTCACTGTAGATCAGGGTTTTTCAAATAAGACAGTGGGCCTCCCTTTTGACACAACTTATCCATTGGCGCCCCCCTCCTCCCAAACACACACACGCAGACACACACACACACACACACACACACACACACACACATATATATATATATATATATATATATACACACATATAGAAACAGACAGATGTCAGACTGTTAACTCACTTTTATCATCATTTGCATAAAAGTGCAATTATTTACAGAGTAATAACAAGTATTTTAATATAACGTTTTTAAAACTAGGATGATGGTTCAATATGAATAGAACAGATCCAAGAACTGTCCATCGCAGTCAAAACAGTCGAAGTTTAGTGGGTCTCATGCTGTCATTAGCCAAAATATCTTGACAAACCACACATGAAGGTCGTGGTTCATCAGCTGGTCCGGTCCACGTAAATCCTAAACTCAAATACTGATCATCATATCGTCGTCTTTTGGGTTTAAGCCCTGAACTTGAAGGCTTTGAATCGGGGGGTCTCAGAAACCGATACCAGTATTGACGGGCTTGCCAAACAGAAGCGAATTCACAGCTATGGCCTTCTGGGTAAAAAAGGTTTTCTTATTTTTGACGTATTATTTTTTTTTTAGCTTTGTTTAATTAAAACGTTTAAATATAATAAAAATACATGTAATAATTAAACTTAATAATTATATTTTTATTATATAATATTTTTTCCCGCGCCTCCCCTGACATGCTCGGGCGCCCCCCAGGGGAGGCGCGCCTCACACTTTGAAAACCCCTGATGTAGATTGTACAGACTTTTAATGTTCTAATCGCTGACGTTTTTACAGTGTAGGAATGCACGTCTTTACAGATACTTATAATATATTAGTCTCTGTGTGCTCATTCAGATAGTTTGCAGCAGCTTCAAGAACACTCCAATCAGTGAGGTCGAAGGCTGTAAAATCCTGCTGTTTCATCTCTGTACAGTCCTTAAGAAGGGTTTAGTTCCTTTCAGTTTCTGCCTATAGGTCAGTATAAGAGAATTAAACAATGATCAGAGAGCCCTAAAGCTGCCTGTTGAACAGTGTGGTTTGCTTTCATTTCTGTCATGTAGCAGCAATCTAATATATTACTGGTACATGCCGTGTCTATTTTGCAGTTAACGGAGATTTGCGTTTGTTAAAATCCCAGGGAATGATTAAAACAGAGTTTGGGTGTTGTTGCTCTGCCTCTGTGATCTCATCAGTGAGTTTCTGTAATTTGGCTGCCTCACAAGCAATTGTGGAGGAATGTAAACACTGACGAGAATGATCGAGCAGAGCTCACACAGCAAACAGAAAGGCTAACGGTTAATGAAGAGTGCTTCTAGATGGGAACAGCACATCTTCATTACCACTGTTACGGTTGTACGCCTTTCATTGATAAAAAAGCATTTTCCAACACCTCACGATTTCCATGTTGACTTTTTAGCCTCTTTTACACAAGCCCCTTTCACACATACAGACCTTTCCGGAAAATTGCCGGCAATTTTCCGGAAAGGTTGTATGTGTGAACAGGTCCTTTTTGAAAATACCGGAAAATTCGTTCTGGCTATTTTCCGGAAAGAGAAGTTGTAACATTACCGGCAATTTGCTGGAATGCTGCGCTGTGTGAATGCAGAAGGAAGATTGCCGTAATAAACGTGTGTACGTCTAAACTTGCTGATGTGAGACGTCTGCTTTAGCCAATCACAATAGTCAGACGCATTCACGTCCGCGCGGTTTGTGAGAATAAAAGCCTTTGAATATTTTTCCAGACACATTTAGCTGCTAGAAGTTAGTCAGATCACGTTTATATGTTCTTCTTAATGCCAACTAAATAATAATCGATGAGATGCTTATGATAAGCCGTTGTTTGTTTACCTTCAAGCTTTGCGTGTGCCTGTGAAACAGCCTGTGAGCGCCTGCACACTCACATATTATGAACATCTCGACATGCGAAAGTGATCCTGCGAAAGTTGTTTATAATATTGATCATCCACAGAGTTTGTAATTTAGTCAAATGTTTATAAATACAAGCGCAGCCGTTTAAAGCTCATTTGTGGTGAATGATGTCAGAATTTACCGGTATTTTGGAATAGATGTGTGAACGCTCTTTTCCGGAAAATTTCCGTAACGTCCTCGCCTGTGTGAACAGCGCTTTTTTGAATATACCGGTAAAGTCGTTCCGGAAAATTTCCAGATATTTACCGGTATCACTGTGTGAAAGGGGTTACATACACACCTTTCCGGAAAATTACCGGGAATTTTCTGGAAAGGTCTGTATGTGTGAACAGGTCCTTTTTGAAAATACCGGTAAATTCGTTCTGGCTATTTTCCGGAAAGAGAAGTTGTAACATTACCGGCAATTTGCCGGAATGCTGCGCTGTGTGAATGCAGAAGGAAGATTCCCGTAATAAGCGCGTGCACATCTAGAACGTGCTGATGTGAGACGTCTGCTTTAGCCAATCACAACAGTCAGACGCATTCACGTCCGCGCGGTTTGTGAGAATAAAAGCCTTTGAATATTTTTCCAGACACATTTAGCTGCTAGAAGTTAGTCAGATCACGTTTATATGTTCTTCTTAATGCCAACTAAATAATAATCGGTGAGATGCTTATGATAAGCCGTTGTTTGTTTACCTTCAAGCTTTGCGTGTGCCTGTGAAACAGCCTGTGAGCGCCTGCACACGCACATATTATGAACATCTCGACATGCGAAAGTGATCCTGCGAAAGTTGTTCACAATATTGATCATCCACAGAGTTTGTAATTTAGTCAAATGTTTATAAATACAAGCGCAGCCGTTTAAAGCTCATTTGTGGTGAATGATGTCAGAATTTACCGGTATTTTGGAATGGATGTGTGAATGCTCTTTTCCGGAAAATTTCCGTAACGTCCTCGCCTGTGTGAACAGCGCTTTTTTCAATATATCGGTGAAATCGTTCCGGAAAATTTCCAGATATTTAACGGTATCACTGTGTGAAAGGGGTTACATACACACCTTTCCGGAAAATTACCGGCAATTTTCCGGAAAGGTCTGTATGTGTGAACAGGCTCTTTTTGAAAATACCGGTAAATTCGTTCTGGCTATTTTCCGGAAAGAGAAGTTGTAACACTATTGGTAATTTGCCGGAAGGCTGCGCTGTGTGAATGCAAAAGGAAGATTGTCGTAATAAGCGCGTGTACGTCTAGAACGTGCTGACGTGAGACGTCAGCTTTAGCCAATCAGAACAGTCAGACGCATTCACGTCCGCGCGGTTTATGAGAAGAAAAGCCTTTGAATATTTTACCAGACACATTTAGCTGCTAGAAATTAGTTAGATAACGTTTATATGTTCATCTAATTAATTATCGATAAGATGCTTATGATAAGCCGTTGTTTGTTTACCTTCAAGCTTTGCGTGTGCCCATGAAACAGCCCATGAGCGCCAGCTCACACATATCATGTACATCTCAACATGCGAAATGTGTTTCTCTATATGTTTTCATCGAAGTTGTTCACAATACTGATCCATCCACAGAGTTTGTGATGTAGTCAAATGTTTACAAATACAAGTGCAGCCGTTTAGAGCTCATTTCTGGTTAATGATGTCAGAATTACCGGTATTTTGGAATGGATGTGTGAACGCTCTTTTCCGGAAAAATTCCGTAACGTTCTCGCCTGTGTGAACAGCGCTTTTTTGAATTTACCGGTAAAGTCATTCCGGAAATTTTCCATATATTTACCGGTATCACTGTGTGAAAGGGGCTAATGTCACGATCCACTTGAAATCCAGCATGAAACTGAAAGCTTACTGTCCGTTATGACATCATTCAGCCAGGTTTCTATGAAACAGAGCAGCAGTATGTGAAAAAACCTTGTTTGTCCAGAAGAGCTGAAGGAGTTCATCCATTTTGTTGGGTTAAGAGAGGATATGCGCCAGATATTAGCTTCTTCTTGAGCTTCTTAGCTTAGCATCTTAAGCAGTGCCATTCGAAATCCACACTTTAACAGCTTCACGAGTGTGCCTGCTCACTTCCCCAACTATGCATCTGACTACAATTCAATTCAATTCGTCTTCATTAATATAGCGCTTTTTTACGATGCAGATTGTTCCAGTAAACTGAACCTGATTCTGTTCAGATTAGTATAAATTCCGGATCAGTGTAATGTAAATGCCACTGCTGAAGGCTGATCCAATGAAGAGCAATTCCGCCAATGTGCAGCTTCACCAGTCCCAGCCAAACCAGTTGAGTTAAGTGAAGGGGGAAAAAATCTATAGAGAAACCAGGCTCAGCTGGAAATGAATACTCCTTACCAACTATTTTCACTTATATGTGGTAATTCAAGTAGCAAATATGAGTGTGGCTCAGTTGATGTGTTCTTCCTTTCCTCAGGATGATCTAGACCTCACTGACAAGAACAGGGAAGCCATGTTCGCATTGCCAGCTGAGAAGAAATGGCAGATCTATTGCAGTAAGAAGAAGGTGAGTTCTTCACAACATTATTAAAAATGAATTTAATTTCCTGCTGTCGGAAGAGTCAGGAGCCGTTTGATCCATATGCAGTTCTTTATTAAAGATACCAGGAATCTGAAAAGAAAGGGGCAATCCAAAGACATGTCTATAGGCAGGCAGGTTTTTGAAAAACAGAACAATTGAGATAAAAAAAACAAGGGGTCGAAACACAGGCAAGGCAAATCACTATGAACCCGCTCAATAATGACCGCAGGCCAAATTGAGACTTAGCACTGAACTGCATACAACAGGGGTTTATATGAGCAGATGCAAATTAGATGCACCTTCCACAGTTATCATTCTCAGGCATGGAGGCTTATGGGGGATGATAAACCAGACTAAATAGTGGGATAGTTCCCTCTGGTGGTGTGCAGGGGAGGCAGCCAGAGCTCTATTTACAACACCTGCAATTCCTACAAGGCAGAAGGAAGTGAAATCAATTTCATTGTTTAAAGTATCTGTAAACATTTTGCTATGAGACAGTTCCTCTGAAATAAACGTTTAAAACTGCAACAACTTAAAATATAGACCGCAATTATATTCATTCATTCATTTTCTTGTCGGCTTAGTCCCTTTATTAATCTGGGATCGCCACAGCGGAATGAACCGCCAACTCATCCAGCACGTTTTATACGCAGCGGATGCCCTTCCAGCCACAACCCATCTCTGAAAACATCCACACACACTCATACATGCAAACTCCACACAGAAACGCCAATTGAGCCGAGGAACGAACCAGTGACCCAGCGACCTTCTTGCTGTGAGGCGACAGCACTACCTACTGCGCCACTGCTTCGCCCCACAATTATATAAAAGACTGTATAACCCAATAAGCTAAGGAAACTCAAAGCCTTTGCGGAAACCGATTGCAACAAACCATTTAAGTTCAAAAACTAATCCTAATGAGTACTGTGAACTTAATCCATTTGAGTACGGCATAATTTGAGCACAGAAAAACCCATAAATTAAGAGAACTCAAACCAATTGAGTACTGTGAAACCCGATTAGTTAAGGCAACTCAAACCATTTAAGGAAACTTATTGCAACAAAAAAAATAGCCGCGTGAACATTTGAGTTTACTCGCTTCATACGCGCGTCAAACCCCGCTTCATTCGCGTGTCAAATTCACTTCAGAACAGACGCGGATTCGCGTGATGGGCAGGGCTTCCGTCTGCCCGGTGACTCTAGCTTCGTTGCTAAAATGCTAACATGGAGTTTATGAAGAAAATAACAGTGTTTATGTACTTTATGAAGGCTGAAAAACAGCGTCGATACGTTTAGGGCCGTGTCTAAGTCCACTACATGCTTTTAGAGGTGCATCCAGCTCTGTAAGCTCATAAACTCCTCCAGAAACTGAACCTGGATCACGGAGGCTTTCAGCGGTGCTTCTGACTGAGCCCAGCCCAGTTTGATGACTTGTTGTCAGTGTCGCCTGGAGGATTTCCCCCGGGAGACCATCAACAAGTTCTACGTCACAATCACGCCCCCACAAGAGCAAGCTTCTGATTGGTTAACGCGGCGCGAATGTCCGCTGAAGTTCAGATTTTCGAATTCGAGAGATTTGCGAGAAATGCTCGTTAAGCGCGTCAAACGCACAAAACGCTCAATTCGCCCTGCGCCATTCGTGCGTATTGCGCTATTTGCACCACGCCATTCGCGTGTATCGCGCCGCAGGATGTCTATTCGCGCGTTTGCATTGACTTAACATGTAAATCACTTGCACTTGGCACGCTTTCCGCGTCTGGTGTGAACGCAGCATAAAAAGTGAAAACTTAAACAAATTACTTAAGTCTTGTTACAATTAAATGAATTAAGTTTGACAAAATTAATTTACAACAGTTTTCAGTAATGAATTAAGTTAGTTCTTTAAGGTGTAACAGGTTTTAGTAAGTTATTTATGGCAAGTATAAGTATTGTTCACTATAAATAATGAGCAATACTTGTATTTGTTACAAAACATTAAAGTGTTATTTTTGTATTTACAAGGGAAGAGTACTTTTTACTATTATTAATATATTTACAATATTATATTGAATGACTGTACTGTATGTACTGTTCCATTCTTGTTTTCTAAAATAAATTACTATAACGTAAAACTAAAACACCTAAAAGAACTAACTTAATTTATTACAGAAAACTGTTATAAATTAAGTTTGTCAAACTTAATTTATTTAATTGTACCAAAGTCGAAGTAATTTGTTTAAGTTTTCACTTTTTGCAGTGCATTTGAGTTCAAATACTAATATTTACGAGTTCTGTGAACTTACTCCAATTAGGTTGATGTAATAAGATAATTAGTTAATTACTTAATTACCATAACTTGCCTAACTAACCTAGATAAATATCTAGTCAAATATTATTTACTGTCATCATGGCAAAGATAAAATAAATCAGTTATTAGAAATTAGTTATTAAAACTATTGTTTAGAAATGCGTTGAAAAAAGTGAGTTAAACAGAAATTGGGGAAAAAAATATACAGGAGGCTAATAAATCGGGGGGCTAATAGTTATATTAATACTGTATATTTGTTATTGTTACCTCTATTGCAAAAATTGCCAGTAGTTCACTACTGTGCTCACCTTAAGCAAACTATGCCATGTCTCCCTTTATTCTTGCGACAGAGAGGGAAATTAGAGCATTCTAATAATCTTTTTGAACTGTTGTCAATTCTCTAAGGAACGTGACATGATTAGAAATAGCCATAAGAAAATGCTGGGTGAATAATGGGAGTCTCCATTACACTGTTTGATTTGGTTGTCACAGTCAGTTTGGCTGCAAGTCCAATTGACATCTTTGGGTTCCAGCTTTGTTCCTTCTTGATGAACACATATCGCTAAGAATAAAACATGCTGTTTGGGTCTAATTGCAAGTAATGCATACCAGGCCCGTGCAGAGACCGTCCAAAGGGCATGTGCAGGCAGGGGTTGGGGGTTGTTGTTGCGCGCGTACTGAAGAGCGGTGTTGTCGCGCGCCTACTGAAGGGCGGGACCGAGGGTGTGCCGCGTCGCGGGGGCACTTTTGATAATTTTGGAAGGGCACTTTCTATCCAAGACTAAAAAGGCCATGTGCACTGCACAGGTTGAGCCCTATGTGTGCACGTGCCTGATGCATACTACGTTGTTGTTGTTTTGTCTTGCTTGACTTTTGATTGTATATTGTAGTAAAAACTCTGATTTTAAGATCTACAAATATTTTTGATAATTAGGTGTATCATGTCTTTTTGTATACAGGATGTGTAATTTATAAAGAATGCTCCGTTATCACTTTTGTAGCCAACAGTCAGAATTAGGCACATGGAAAGTCAGACCATGTTTAGCAAAGCAGTTATCACCTAAATATTTAGAAAACTGAGCTTCTCCCAGATTAACCCCTACATTTGCGACACACAAGAAATGGAACTGTCTGATATGATCTGTGGTGATTTTATCACAGGCGGTTAGACTGCTCTGTAAACACTTTATTTCTTGTTTTTCAATAAATAATTTCAGTTGTCATGGTCTGGTTATTATTGACATAGCTTTATGTGTGTCAGGCAATAACCATTAGATCACTGACCCATTCCCTGATGGTTGAATGCAAAGCCAATTTTATTTCCCCCAAGCCTCTTAAACTCTGCAAACCCAAAGTCCAGAGCGATGTCATCATTGTTTTGCTTTAAAGGGCCATGAAACCCCCTTGTTTCAGCAGGGTTTTTTCACACCTCTACTTTGGGAAAAAGTCAGGAAACTGGGCGTGTCCAGCTCCGTTTAGGGGGGAGTGTCAAAGGAGAGAAAGAGGGATGGTCTGTAAAAATTTGCATAAAAATGGGAGTGTCAGTTTGGGTGATTTTCACAGAAGCAAAACAAGCGCACAGATGCAGGGGAGAAAGACAGTGACTGTGTTCAAATGGATATCAGTAATCGAATTATTTGCCAAATTATTAAATGGTGGACTTTAACTGCAGTTTCGGAGAGCAGCATTCACAGCAGATTTTTCAGTCCATAATTTTGTAGTGATGTTAACGTACTGTAAACTTTATTAACTTAGAAATCATTTGACTAAGGTCCATCTTTAAACACTGAACGAGTACGAACTAACTTTGCCTCTGAATAAACAAACAAAAACCACTAGTCGCTTACTTACCAAATCTGTCGAGACAGGACAATCAACACCAACTGGAGCTGCGTCTTTATTAAAAGGAGACGAGCAGCAAATACGGATTTCACCATTTCCGGATGAGAAAAACTCTCAGGTAAACAATGTTCCTTAAACACGTATTTTCATCGCGCGTTGCTTGCAGATCCACACGTGAGTCCAGCTGTGCTCTAATAGCGGGAAAATGAAAACAAAACTTTCACTGCAGCAAATTTTTAACACAACACTGATGACTTGTATCTCCAAACATTTCTTGTTCTTCCGCTTGGCAACACAACGTGGCGTCTCTCTGCCGTCTGTACAATGTAACAGGTACAAACAGTCTTCGAAGCTATCATGCATATTAATGAAGTTGCACCGCATACACAATAGAGCGCGCTGATTGGTTTGAATCAAGTCTTACTCATGAATGAATACAGCACACTCAGAGACATCATAAGGTATTCCTAGTTACAGACGTCCAGTCTACACGCTGGAGTACACCCTAAGATCTTGTGGCCGTGACGCAGCTTCAAAAATTTGTTTCAAACCGGAAGTACGAATTTGCTCGAAATAACGCAAAAACAACCAATTTACACTTTTAAGTAAAATATATGTGTCCTAATAGTGTTTTTAGCAGTCTGGGACACATATAGGACTGTCAACAGCTTAAAACATTTTTAAGTTTTGTGACCCTTTAAATTGGGAAATTGGTCTGTGGTAAGCCAGTAGCACTATATATGGTTCTATTTGAAAGCTTAGCATCTCTATTGTCTGAGGGGGCACAGGATAAACACCCACTGCATAAAAAACACCTGCAGGAGAAATTGCTGGTTCATTCCACTTAGGCGACCTCTGATAAATGAAGGACTAAGCTAGTGTCTGTTTTATAATGTTTCATCGATTTCACAGATGTGAGATTCGTGGGCTGACAGGAAACCAGGGCTGCATCCAAAAACACACTCTTTTAAGAATTATTACAGTCATGAGATCCACATGAACATGCACACGTCACAAGTGCATTTATGTGAAAATCATTTATATGCAGTGATACACAGCACAATTTAAGAGCTGGTGAATTCCAAAGCAATCATATGAAATTTTGTGGCATTTTGTGGAGGCTGCTGCTGTCATCTGGAGGTCTCTCTTTTGGCCATATCCACATTCACTCATTTCACTTGATAAACAATAATAAAGTCGGGTTTTACAGTGTTGCATTGTTTTTCAGATGTTTTCACGTTTCTTAAATATCAGCAAACATGTTATTTCTTTACGCTTTAAACAGCTCTTTTAAGTGTCCTTATTGGGACACAATCTGGGTATACATTTCATGGCCACATGGACAATGGTAAAAACTACATTATGTCAGGGCTGTGCAAATCAGATTTCGATTTTGGCTTCTAACGCTGAAAAACCATTAATCGAGATAAACGATTATTGCGTCATATACCGCCCCCTTTACAGTTGTACACATTTGTTGCTCTTAAAAGTGCGAAAGACAGCATGCTTCTGTGTGTGTGTGTGTGTGTGCGGCACGGTCATTCGGTCTCATTCGCACACTGTGACGAGCAGAGCGCACACATCTAAAGTCATCTTAATGTGAGTGCTTTAATTGATAAACAGGTGTCAAAACCTGGTGTATAGTGATTATTCATATTAACCCTCATTTGTGTAATAAACAAACGAGTTGAGAATCAAAAGACACGTGAAAGAGAAACCATTAAAGTGACAGCGCAATATTCCGGCTGCCGCCTGTTTCCATCAGTATTAATCAAACAACAAAAGGAGAAAATCCCTCACTGTTCTTGACTGAAGGATTATTGTAGCTGAAGTGTTTTTCTTACAGTGAAGATGCTTAAAGCACAGTTTGTTTCATATTTTTATTCTATTGTATTTATTTCTCTTTCCTTTGCAGGGTTGAAAAAAACTGTATATGCAGTTGAAGTCAGAATTATTAACCCTCCTGAATATTTGCAACCTTTTTCCTCCTCAGTTTCTGTTTAATGGAATTTTTTTTTCAACTTATTTCTGAACATTATAGTTTTAAGAACTCGTTTCTAATAACTGATTTCTTTTATCTTTGCTATGATGACAGCACTTAATATTTTACTAGATTTAAAAGGCTTATTTAGGGTAATCAGGCAAGTCATTGTATAACAGTAGTTTCTTCTGCAGACCATCAAAAATACATTGCTTAAGGAGGCTAATAATATTGAGCTTAAATTGGGTTTCAAAATATTTAAACCTGCTTTTATTCTAGCCAAAATAAAACAAATCAGACTTTCTCTAGAAGACAAAATAGTAGAGGAAATACTGTTAAAGTTCCTTGCTCTGTTAAACATCATTTGGGAATTTTTTTTTATTTTTTATTTTATCAGGAGCGCTATTAATTTTGACCTTTACTGATAATCGTTTTCAATAATCGTGATAACAATTATGACCAAAATAATCATGATTATGATTTTTCCCAAAATCGAGCAGCCCTACATTATGTTTGTTTACCACTATTCTGTTATTTAACAAGAAAATATCGCATGTCTTGAAATAGAATCTGACCACCTTTATATGCTTTTCTAATTTTAGGAACAAGAGGACCCCAACAAACTTGCCACCAGCTGGCCTGATTACTATATAGATCGGATCAACTCCATGGCAGCTGTAAGTATTTACTTTGTTACATTACATTTTTAAATGCACAACAGACATTTGCACCTTTTGTAGCTGATTCAAGAGTTCACACTTAGACTATTAGACTGCTTGACTATTTAAGCAAGTTTGGCATGCTGTCCCTGGAGAGAACCCTGAGCTCTGAGATAGATGAGCCAAAGGCTGCCGCCTGGTCAATAAGCATTAGGAGGGATATGAGCCCTGCTGAAAAATCCAGCTTAAACCAGCCTAGGCTGGTTGGCTGGTTTTAGCTGGTCAACCAGGGTGGTTTAGAGGGGTTTTGGCCATTTGCAGCCTGGTCTTAGCTGGTCAGGCTGGAAAATGACCAGCTAAAACCAGCTTGACAAGCCTGGTTTAAGCTGGACATAGCTGGTTTTGGCTGGGCTCCCAGCCTGGCTAGGCTGGTCAAGCTGGTTTTAGCTGGTCATCTCCCAGCCTGACCAGCTAAGGCCAGGCTTGAAATGGCTGGAAACCAGCCTGGAAATGGCCAAAACCCCTCTAAAACCAGCCTGGTTGACTAGCTAAAACCAGCCAACAAGCCTAGGCTGGTTTAAGCTGTTTTTTACAGTAGGAAGATCAGGTAGTTCTCGATAACTTCCCAAAATAGACCGCTAACTGCGCTAGTTTGTAGTGCTTGTAAACTTGTAAAAAAAAAGTGCTTGTGACTTTAACTTTTGTTGCATGGTTTTTGAGTGTGGAAGGAAACCGGAGTACCTGGGGAAAACCCACGCGAACATGGGGAGAACATGCAAACTCCGCACAGAGAGTATCAGTTGGCTCAGCTAGTATTTGAACCAACGACCTCCTTGCTGTGGGGCAACAGTGCTAGCCACTTAGCCATCGTGTCGCCCGAACTTAGAATTGAGGAAGAGGGAGAAGGGATGGATGGGGGGGAGGTTTCCAAAATGAAGATGAGGAATGAAGTTTAGGCTGGATATTTATATTGAATTTAGAGTGATCCGGTTGGCTAGTTAGTGATTAGTAATAGGGATCAGCTGCAGTCAATCCTATCACGTGCTCCTCTCGAAATTAGTTTAAGGGTGCTTTCACACCTGTGAATCGATTCAGTTGTTCTGAAACAGAGATTACAATTGTTACATTGTTGCTCTTTGCTCTTGGAGCGGTTCGCTTTCACACTGCAAAGTTTCTAATCGGACCAAAAGAGCTAACACAAGTCACGTGTGAGTAAACTCTCCTCACATTGGTCAGAGTGTCAGGGTTTATTTTGCAGAGTCCCGCTCAGCTGTCAGGAGAGGTGGTGGTTTGGTGGTGTTTGACAAGGTGCGCGCGCGACGTGTCTGAGGAGAGATGCGGTGGGGAGGGGTGAGAAGGGTGTGCGACGTAGCCTATTTGAGGACCGGGAGGGAGGCGCGAGATTACCGGTAGATTATCACTCGTTTGCGGGCATCCGGAGACTCGCGAAACTTCCCGCCCTACTCAGAATTCTCTCTTCATATAGCCGTAAGCCTATTACATGTCCATAAAACACAGTGATATAACCACGCTCGGATCAATTGCAGTGAGAAAGCGATCCGCTCCAGAATTCGTTTCAATCGAGCCGAGACCACCTCCTTCAAGTGATCTCGAAGCGACTGATTTGGCGCGGATCCGAGAGCGATTGGTGGTATCACATATGCCAAACAAACTGCGCTAACTGGGCAAACGAGAAAGGTTCCAAAACAAAAGTGTAGGTGTGAAAGCACCCTAAGAAACTTCACTTTGGACATTAGTAATGTGATGAGGGAATGAAGAAATAACAAAACTATCAATTCCTAGTTATCTGGCACTAAATAACAACATTAAAAACTGAATTTGCTGTGGTAGGAAAAAGCTGCGTGAATCTTTTCTTCATTTAATATATGACTTGCGCCTCAGAAGGCAGTGAACGCAGTGAACGCGTGGTGGCACTTGAAGGCATGAGACGTGGAGCACAGACACTCTTGATTCTGGAGGTGATTAATAATATAATAACATTAATACTAAAATGGTTAAAACGTTTTAGAATGACCAAAACAACATTTTAGATGTTTTACAGTGTGCTCAGCCTGCTGGTTCGTCCATTTGCACACATTTTGACCATCACATGATCTCTTACTCAGACTTAGAAACTTCTCACTATAGGAATGCTGCCAAGTCGCTGTTGTGGCATCAAAATCACATTGCATTGTGAGAGATGAAGGTGCTGTATTGTAAACCCACTCATTCTGCCAAAATGAGGGGTTGATGGTCAATCTATGTAAAAGAAAGAGAATTGTCATCTACTCAAAGGGAAACACAGTTTACATGGTGGTGGGGTAAGAAAGTTTTTCAGGCATCTTGTGTTTTGTATCTTGTATTTCAGATGCAGACACTTTTTGCCTTCGATGAAGCAGAAATAGAGATGAGAAACAAGGTGGTTGAGGATCTCAAAACAGCCCTCCGCACTCAACCAATGAGGTAAGAAAAACTCCACCCAAGCTCATTCTGAAAACGTAGCCCCGCGGACGTTTCTGGAGACCGTGATTTACATGGCCGGAGGTACATATGGCCGCATCTGTTTTTTTCGAGCGAACGATACGGGGCGGTGTGACGCCGCTCCTCTTCTTCGCGCTCGCTGGCTATGACGGCTCACCTCCGTGTGGAGGGCTTTCCCGCCGCAACCAGTTTGTCTGCTTAGCTCTTAGTGTTACATCGGCTAAGTGGAGGCCCAGAGGAGGAGGAGCCGGCTGTGGTGGCGACCGGGTTCGAGTCAGGGGAAGAGCGGTATCTTGCAGAGCAGATATGTGCTAGAGCAGTGGTCCCCAACCCCCATGCCCACTGACCAGCACTGGTCTATAGATCAATTGTTACCCGGCCACACAAAAAATCCTGAATTATTTCAGTTTTATTTATAATCTGAGTCTGAACGATCATTTATTTTAAAAAATCTTTTAGTTTGAAAAATGACCGTACTCTCTTGTTACATCTCGGTCACTTGAGTGCCAAAATGTAACCCTCAGGCTAGCAAAATGAGTAAGAACTGCAGCACGTCGCGCTTGCATATTCCAGGCGTCCCCAGTTAACATATTAACTTTTCAGAATGCCGCACTGCGAGTCACGTGACAAAACCCCACTGATCGGCTTCATATTTTTGATGGAATATAATTTGTTGAATGAATATGACTCTGCCTTGTTTTCAAACTGTGCAGTGCTGTAGCTGCTTAATTTTGCCAACTGCGCTACTTTATTTCAATACTGTTGATTATGGTGATACTTGGAGAGACAATTTTTTTTTTCTGAGGTGGTACTTGGTGAAAATACTTTGAGAACCACTGGGCTAAATTATTCATTTATTTATTTGACAAATAAACAAAAACTCTTATCTGCCTCAGATCATATCTTCCTCCTGCGTCGACCTGAACTGGGTGCTTGCCTGTACGTAATCAAACACATCAAGGGAGACTGATGCGGAGGCAATTGTCATTAAATTCTGTGTCTTTGCCTTGGAAAGTCGACTTCTTGTGACCAAAAGCCGGAATTAGCGAAAATTCAGCCAGCGTTTTGTAGTTAGGAAATATTTCTTCTAAGGCTGTGATCAGAACAAAGTTTGCTGGATTCTCTGAATGTGATATTTAACTGATCCTGCAAGCACTCGTTTCACCGGGAAAAAATACTACAGCACTCTGCGTTCGGTAGTGCTCACAACGCACTCCAAAGCACCTGACCTCCTTGCTGCCGTTTGGTTGGCTCGTCACAGCTGTCGGCGACCGAAGATTTTTGTCTGTTTGTTCTTCATCGTCCACTGCATCACCTCCTCTTTTTTCACCTTTATTAATAATATCACAACTATTTGGCCGTTTAAAGAAACTTCTCACACTCAGCTGCTGTGACATTTTTGCAACTGTACGCATAGATATGTACATTAGATGTCGCCTGGCCTATTGTTGTCTATTGGACGGAATGCGTCAATAGCGCCACCATCTTGGTACAGGGTAGCGCTCCTTTGAAATGGATGCGGGACCAAGGTACAGTGGAGGACTGTGGCCATCCAAAGTCAGAGATATACACATATACACATATATCTATGATCGGGAGTTTTCCTGGATGTTAGAATGTAATTTTTTTTTCTAATTACCAAAATGATAATTTTACAGCACTTTTCTACATTGATGGATCAGTGACCGCATGGGCATCCCTGACAAAAAGCTTGTGTTTGTGTGTACAGAAATGTACTATTCACCCTCCCTGTTAAATTTGATCTAATCATGTTCTGAAACACAGCTCCTCTCCTGCTTTCACTTCTCATACTGACAGAGGGAGCGATTCGATTGTGAATGAATCCCCCGAACGACTCTTTCACTTACGTTAGCCGACAATAATACAAGTTTCTGGCAGCGCAGCATCTTGTTGTCATATTTCTTTTGCATTATTTGCTGATTTTATTCAACAAAACTAGCATAAGCCGAGTGTTTAGTGCGAGTTGGAGCCGCTTTGCCGTATGGTGAATGCAGTAAGTGACTGTTATCATCAATAACGTTACCTGATTAGCACAAAAGTTCAGAACATACAAAAACAGAAAAAACTTAATATTACCTATGAAATGTTCTGCCTTTGTGCTTTGTTTTCTTTGTTTGCTCATTACTACACCCGTAGACAGCGCTAAAGTCCAGCATCTTCACGTAATAACACAGTCTTGACTAGTGCGGTTGAATGACATTTGTCCTGTGAGCACTGTACCAATGTGGCGGCGCTATTGACGCATGCTCAGAGTCCCTATGCGATATCTAGTGTATATATCTATGAACTGTACGCAGCGGTGACAAAGAGGAGACAAAACAAGGACAATCGCCATCAGCTGGACAGGAGTGGGAATTACAGTTACAGTTAGCTACGAATTACAATAGATCCCCCTCAGCATAATCCGTCAAAATAACAGATCACCTTCAGATTTTTTGGTCACTGCTGAAAAAATCAGTCAATGATGGAAAATATTCGGTTAACGCGACCTCTGATATACCATAACTATTGGCCCTACTATTTCTGAGTAAAAATATAACACTAGAAAACAAGTTTCCAAGTTCAAGTCCTGGCACTGCCCGGAAATTTGGTGGCAGTGTTGCCAGACATACGATAATTATCGTATTTGTACGATAATTTTGACCTCTGTACGATGTACGATCAATAATGAGAAAAATCCTATATTGTACGATAATTTCAGAATTTTATTGCATTTCAAAGTAACTTCATTGTAATCTTCGGGCTTCTTTACTTATTGATCTAGCTGCATCTTTTCTGTACTGTCTGTGAGGAGTAGGTGGAGTTAGGCACATTTTCTATCTCATCTTACGTTGCCTCTTCTCAGCCAATCAACATGGAGAATGGCTCTCTTTTAGGAGTTAACACTCCTGCTGCGCGTGCCCGTGTTAGGTCAGTAGTTTTCAGTTTGAGGTCGATCTTTTAAGCAATAATGTTAAAACAATTCGTGCTGTAAAGGAAGGTGAGAAGGACGGGAGTTTTCCCTTGATGTTCTCGTTTTTCCCCATTCAAATGCATTTCCAAAGTTAGTCTCATCAAAACAAAACATGCACACCTCAGAGTGTGCACTGCTTTCAAGCCAACCAGCGCTATTTTGCAGTCCATTACGGCATCCAATTTGTACGGTGAAATAAATTCCTCAACATCTGGCAACATTCAATGACAGCAACTCGGAGGTGGAGTTTGAACCTTCCCACTAAGGTACCTAGTTTTTACACGTTGTGTCAAAACGCTATGTGTCTAGATAATAGCTGTATACTCTCAGTTTGACTCGTGTACGATAATTTTCCTCCAAATACGATCATTTTGAGGTTCTGGTATGAAACTTTGACATTTCCAATCTGGCAACACTGTTTGGTGGTGGTGTGTGTGTGTGTGTGTGTGTATACACATTTCGAAAAATAAAAAAACGAGCTCATAATAACCCGATGTGACTTTTCCTTTAGGTTTGTAACACGCTTCATTGAGTTGGATGGCTTGACGTGTCTTTTGACCTTCCTAAGGAGCATGGACTATGAAACTTCAGAAAGCCGCATACATACTTCCATTATTGGCTGCATCAAAGCCTTGATGAATAACTCTCAAGGCCGAGCTCATGTGCTGGCCCACCCTCAGAGCATCAACACCATCTCCCAGAGCCTTCACCAAGACAACATCAAGACCAAAGTGGCTGTGTTGGAGATCCTTGGTGCTGTTTGCTTGGTGCCAGATGGGCATAAGAAAGTGCTACAGGCAATGGCACACTATCAGAAGTTTGCTGCAGAGAGGACTCGCTTCCAGGTAATGTTGCTTTCAATGTAATGTTTGTAACAGATGAAAAGCAAATCAGAAGATAATCCTTTAGAGCAGGGGTGGCCAACCCTGTTCCTGGAGAGCCACCTTCCTGCAGATTTCAGTTGCTACCCATATCAAACACACCTGAACCAATTAATTACAACCTGAACACCACGTGATAATTACAGGCAGGTGTGTTTGATATGGGTTGCAACTGAAATTAGCAGGAAGGTGGCTTTCCAGGAACAGGGTTGGCCACCCCTGCTTTAGAGAAACTGTATTTTTATATGGTCAATGGGGTGTATGCACACAGACTTTTAGGCTCAATCCCAATTCCACCCGTTAGTCCTTCCCCTTACCCCTACCCCTTGTTTTGCGCGTTCTCATGAAGAGGTAGAGGTGTCCCAATTCTCTTTAGCTTGAAGGGGTAGGGCTAAGAGGAAGGGGTGAATACCTCTTTGATTGGAGATTTTTCAGGACCACACTTGAAGCCAAGGGGTAAGAAAATTTCCCAGAATACACCAGCCACAACAGCACCATAGGTGCCCGCGGAAGTAAGGAGATGCACAAATTAGTATTTTTTTGTCATTATTATGAATTTTTACAACAAACAAGCACATGTTTTATTATATTCATAACCGCGTTTATGTTTTACCGTCATGCTAAAATACAAACGGCTAAGTTTCGCTATCTATAATCCCTAATAATAATTACTCCTGTAGCAGTCCCACCTCATTCTGACACTCGATGACACTTGAATACCCTGTCAAAATAGTCTAGTGGCTATGAATAAGCATTTTAGAATGTCTGCTATTTTGTTAGTGTTGTTTTTGTGTGTTTACATAGATGAATATGGCCACTGTGTAAATGCACAGTACTGTTACGATCATTCTATTATATCGTTATGATAACATAATATATGCCTTCAGTAATTTCCTGAAGATTAATACCAAATTATAAAGCAACTGGAATAACTACAGCAGTCTTGATCGTCTGACCTCATATGAAGCAAGAGATCGCGATGACATATCGTCACCTTGGAATTATAAGGTTCTATCTATGTTCTGAATGATTTTGAGATAATGAGCTTCAAAGTTTTTGCATTTCATAGCAAACAGTATGTCTGTAACATTTTTTTTTTTAATAAAAAGTCTTAACATGTAAACAACTTATAAAAAAAACATCCCATAATGTAAATAAGTGGTAATTTAATAAGAATATGACAATAATTAAATTGACCAAAATGTCAGATAGAATCTTATAATTCTAAGCTGACGATATGATGACGTGTCCAGGTGTTGTAGTTCTTTCCCATTTCTTAGGGGTAAATTTTAAAGCTCTTCCCCTTCACACATGGGGTAGGGGTACAAAAATAGAATAAGGATTGGGCCTTAATTTAGTATAACACTTATGGATGATGGAGGCCGCTGTGCTCATTGGAACTTTCAGAGCAGCAGAAATGTTTCTGTAACCTTCCCCAGCCTTTTGCCTCAAGACAATCTGTCTCGGAGGCCTACAGACAGTTCCTTTGTCTCCATGCTTGGTTTGTGCTGCTTTGACATGCACTGTCAACCCTGGCAGCTTATATAGACAGGTGAATGCCTTTTCAAATCATGTCCAATCAACTGAATTGACCACAGGTGAATTATTATTATTATAACCTTTATTTTACCAGGAAAGACACATTGAGATTAAAAATCTCTTTTACAAGAGCGTCCTGGCCAAGATTAGGCAGTACACAAGTCACGAGTCCAACAGACAACAAACAAAAAACAATTTAAAGGTAACATGAATCACACTGACAACTATTCAAAACATCTACAAACCTTTGTTTCAACTTTTAAAACATTTATAGTCTTTTTAAAAGCATGCAGTGAAATCAAGTGTTTGCAGATTATTCCAAGCAAAAGCTGCTGCGTACTTAAAAGCCTTTTTCCCATCTCAGTCCGCACTTTAGGGACAGAGTAAATAAATATCCTGTGAGCGAAGACCATAGTTAAGAACAGGCTTTTTACAAATATAATTCTGGAGATATGATGGGAGTAAACCCAGTATAGATTTGTAAACAAGAATATGAAAATGCTTGAGCCTACGAATGGACAAAGCAGACCAACCTAACCTAGTATACAGCACACAATGATGAGTAAGGGATTTAAAATTAGTTATAAATCTTAGTGCACCACGGTAAACAGTACCCAATGCATCCAACTCCAGTAAAACTGCTGAATCATCTCAAGAATGTTCATTGGAAACAGAATGTACCTGAGCTCAATTTAGAGCTTCACGGCAAAGGCTGTGAATACTGATGTACATGTGATTTTTCAGGTTTTTTATTTTTAATTAATTTGCAACAATTTCAAAAAAAAAAAACTTTTTTCACATTGTCATTATGGGGTATTGTGTGTAGAATTTTGAGGAAATAAATAAATTTAATCCATTTTGGATTAGGGCTGTAACAAAAAAATGTGGAAAAAGTGCTATGAATACTTTCCGGATGCACTGTACATTTTAAAATCGATCAAATCTTATTTTTATTTTTTTTGTGTGTTTTTTTTTATTTGTCCCCCAGTCTCTTTTGAACGGGCTGGACAGAAGCACAGGACACTACAGGGATGAAGTAAATCTGAAGACAGCCATCATGTCATTCATCAATGCCATGTTGAATGCTGGCGTTGGAGAGGTCAGCTGATACAGAACACTTTTGATAATGCATAATGTTCAAATTTGAATTGCACTTTTTATTATTGCAGTATGGTCATTTACATTCACATCATTCTCTCTGTTTGTGTTAAAGGAGAGTATAGAGTTTCGCCTTCATCTTAGGTATGAGTTTCTGATGTTAGGAATTCAACCAGTCATTGAGAAACTGAGAGCACATGATAATGCTACACTTGACCGGTAAGATAACTAGAACGTGGTAAATTGGGTCTCATTTATCAGCCTATAGGCAATATATGCATAAGCCTACTGTTGCTAATAGAAAGGTCTTGTGATTGTGTTTCAGACATTTGGACTTCTTTGAGATGGTGCGAAATGAGGATGAATTAGAACTTGCCAAGCGTTTTGACTCTGTGAGATCATGTCTTTTAATTAACAGTGTTTGGTAACACTTTATAATAACTGCACACTAGGAATCATTTACAAGCATTTGCAAATGGTTCATCAGTTATAAGTAGGGCCAGACAGAATCTGCAAGCTTTTTTGCTATTTCTGCAGAGAATTTTGTTAAAAATCTGCAGATTTATGCGAAATAATTTTAGGAGAATCATAACCAAAATATTATATTAGTAAATAAAATCAAAAACTATACCTTTTTCACTTTTATTTAATGTTTACAATGCAAATCCAATTAGATGCACTTTATTTGGTAAACAAAGCAAGTCTCTCGTATAATATATCAACTAAAAGACTGAAATTATTAATGTACAAACTGTATTGTAAATAAATCAAATGAACACTTTCGATTTGGTCAATAATATTAGTGAAATCGATTTAAAAACTGAAAAATTATAAATGTACACACATTTACACAAATAAATAAACAGAATCAATGATAGGCTTAAAATCTGCGGAAATCTGCAAGTGCTGATTCTGTGTGGGCCTAGTTATAAGTATTAACTGTACATTAATTGATATTAGTAAAAAACAAATGCTGCATTCCTGAATTATTGTATTCAAAAGTAATGGCCTATTTATATTTGAAATAAATATTTTTTGTTCTGAATGACTCTTTTCTTTAAAATAGTTTTCAGTTAAAATAAATCATCCTTTAACTGTCATGTATAGGGAATTTACAAAGCATAAATTGTTGTCACTAGATGAGCTCCCAAAACTAGGAATTTGTTTAAAAAGCATTTCTTTATATAGGGTAATTATTATTTGCCTAAAATAAGATGTACAAATGTTAATTTAAATAGTTTATTAATATTTTTATGTACTCATTGTGAATTATCAAAAAACACCAACTCTTAAATAACTGCTTCAGTAATGAAAAATAATCATTAACAAAGTATGAAGATAAAATCATTAAGCACATTATATATGTGCTTGTAAGTCGAGTGCAACATTTGCAGCTGTTAGATGCCTTTTTCATGACTTTTAACATGTGTGTCTTTTTGTGTTCAGATGCATGTGGATACTAAGAGTGCTGGCCAGATGTTTGAACTGATCAAGAAGAAACTGAGCCATACAGATGCCTACCCCCACCTTCTATCTATCCTACAGCACTGTCTCAAAATGCCATGTAAGTAATCATGAGGGGGAAAGTCTGGGGTTGTCTGATGCAAGTCATCCTACAACAGTGGTTTGTTCTGTAGCCAATTGAATGAGGAGGCAAAGCAACGGGCAAAACACAGCAAGGCAAGGAAAATGTGTCTTAATGTTCACAATACAGCATAACAAGACTCAGCAAAGTCTGTGTGTTTGTGTGCTGTATAAAAAGTCCATCTTATCAGTTCATGAGCAACTCCCATAGACTGTAAAATATATGGACGTAGTATCCGTGACGTCACCTATTGGTTTCTAAAGAGCGCAAAAGAAGCCACAAGTAGGCGCGGCCAACCGTCAGCATTTTGTTCGCGCGTCATCACACCCATGGCGGGATACCAAACAAGGGCAAAGAGGCGGAGAGTGAGCGGAGCTACAGACACCTGCTAGCATTTTGCTTGGACCTGGTTCAGACACACTTTACTTTGGGAGAAATGCTTAATACTTCATCACCTGTGACTCGTTTGTATTCTGACCACTTGTGCTTGGTTGTACACTATATCAATAAAGTGTTTAGACTTTCAAAAACACTGCTGTAATACATTGAGCCACTAAACATTGTTCTTATGACGTTTTTCAACAGGAGGAAAACGCGAATTACCTCCAAACACTTCAGATATAGTCTGTGTTAGTTAATGTAAGACTATTGATGAAATCCAGCATAACACTGTATGACAACGCTTCAGATGACTGTTCTAGAGCCTACAGCTAATCAATCCATCAGATTCTGAAGTGCATTATAGCTCTAAATATAAATATTAACGATAAATGATCTTAAATAAAACACATACATGTATAGAGATGGTATATAAGTATATAACTTTACTCACATGGGAAACGGAGGCCACGTGAATGGTTTGTGAGCACAATTAAGTGCACTCAGCATGCCATGCCATCTAATAATTGTAGGAAACAAGTCCAAAAGGCAGTTGACTGTGTAAAGCCACATAAAACAACACAGAAATATGATAAATATGCCGAGTTCAGTGGCTAATCTGCAGGATTCAGCTGAGGTGACGTGACGGCGACCAACGAGACCTAGCTGTCACTCAAGTGGCCACACCCTTAATTATGCAAACTTAATATAACTTAATATAAAGGAAACGGATGAGTTATAAAAAAATTCACCCCCTCACAGTTGTCATGAAGGGTAATATTAGCTGTATTAACCAAAATCTTTTTTTGTACCAGGCTGTAAACACCTTTTTTTCTGCTGTAAAGTTGGCCATTCTAACAGTGGGCTCAATTGAAATTCGCTCTATTTTGGAGCCAGGAGCGGCCAGGACTAGCGGAATTTCGGATGAATAGCAATTTTAGTTACTTCCGTATTGGCTTCCTGAGGGAGAGCGGGAGGTTGCCGCTTGGCAACTTCCAGCCGTGTGTGTGTGGTGCTTGACGGGATTTGTAGTTCTTTATGGTGGCAAAATTGTAGTCCAAGTGAAAGTGAATGTTCTCCAGCAATCTATGAGGGTTAGATCGCTGGTGATCGTGACACTAATGTGGTCTAAACATAGAAATTTAAACATGAGTTAAATAAGTAACTTATTTCTTATGCAAGTGTAGATGCTATCATTTATCGATTACATGACTGCCCTACATCATCAGTAATTTTACTCTACCTATAAGCTTGAAACCAATGGAATTTTAGTGAACGTACAGTTCTTCTACAGTTCCGTTGTTTGCCAGTTCTGTAAAACAAGCACTGATGTTCTTATGGACTTATGGTCCATGATTTAAAAATAAATGGATGTTTGCTTTATTCATATTCTTACAAAGCAAACTGCAATTTTTGATGAGATAGTCTCACATACCAATATTGATATATGCCATAATACTAAAGAATTATCATATCTATATATCATGATTTGTATAGGATCAAATGGAACAGGCTCATTCTGAAAATGTGCCCGTATATACATTTCTGGAGATCAAGAATTATGTAGCCAGAAGTACCTATGGCGACATTTTGCCTTTAAAACAAACACTGCAGAGTGCCGCTTACCTCCATATGGATGGCTTTTCCACAGTTATCAGTTTCTCCAGTGGCTCACTGTGTATGTCGCTGGACTTGATGTGGTGCTGATGTTGACAGTGACGATGGCGTTTGATTCCGGCAAAGAGCAGTTTTAGAAAACAGATAAGACAAAAGCCAAAAAATGAACATGTAAATAATTTGCTTTTGATAACACTGTTGGCTGGGTTTAGGTAAGGAGGAGGGTGGGTCAATCTGTGCTTTAAAAAAAAATGGTCGGCTGGGTTTAGGGAAGAAGGATGGTGAGTCAGTTGTTCGGTCAGTCAATCGACAGCGGCCGAAAAGCATACACAGCAGCCTCTGGAGGAATTGCAAAAACAAACCCTGCAAAAAAAATTGAAAAGTAGCTCCTGGGACATATTTGACGCTCTCTAGAAATGTATATAGAGGTACATATTCAGAATAAGCCTTGGTTGGGAATTGCATATCCTAAAACATAGTTGTAAAAAGCATGTCTTAGAACTTTTTGGGAAGTTTGTATATTAATAAAATCTGATGTATGACATTTGCTAAACATTTTCAGATAAACATGATGCAGGCAGCATACAGCAGTGGCAACTTCTAGACCGCATTCTGCAGCAAATTGTTCTACAAGATGAGAATGGAGAAAATCCAGATGTTTCACCCCTGGAGAATTTCAATGTTAGGAATATAATAAAAATGTAAGTGCTCAGTTTATAATGCTTTTTTGTTTGTTTGTTTGTTTGTTTATTTATATTTTGTTGTTGTTTTACATCTATGCTTTCCATTGAGTTTCAGTTAGTGTACCAAAAAAGGTTGAATGCAGCACTGGTAAAGGAAACACAGGGGAAAAAATTGCTTATGCAAACATCGCACACTATTAGCAAACATTGCCTCACTGAATCTGCATCCTGTGTTTTTACATGCATTTTATTAATTTGCTTTTATTTTTTTATTATTATTTTTTTTGATGACGTTAAATCAAAGCTAAAATAATGAAAGTTAAATTTTCCAATGCAGGCTTGTAGCTGGTATTTTATTGTTAGACCCTACAACAATGCCTACAAGTCTGTCTATAAGAAGAAATATCATAATGTATATTAACGCCTTTTTTTTCAAACAGCAAATTCATGTTATTCAAATAGGTCTGATATAGAGCTGCACAATTAATCATAAAAAGATCGCAATCTCGATTCGCTCCCCTAGACCAGGGGTGTCAAACTCAATTCCTGGAGGGCCGAAGCCCTGCACAGTTTAGTTCCAACCTTGCTCCAACACACTTACCTGTAGGTTTCAAACAAGCTTGAAGGACTCAATTAGTTTGATCAGATGTATTTAATTAGGGTTGGAACTAAACTGTGCAGAGCTGCGGCCCTTTTGGAACTGAGTTTGACACCTGTGCCCTAGACGATCTTAATCCAGCATTTCTACGATTCTGTCAATCATATTTTCAAGTTCAGGAGAGAAAAAAGGCGGCTGCATGAGTCTTTTCATTGTTTCACATACGTCGCTCAGTCACATTGACACCTCCAAATGATGTTGAATGAGTCACATACTGTATTTATAAGGTATAATTCACCCTAAAAATGTCGTTTTTGCCTTCATATTATGATGTTTTCGCGACCGGGAAATCACACGTGACGTGAGCTGCTGACCGTGAGCTGTTATCATAGAGAGGGCGCGTGAGCTCTACTTAATAATAGATGTGCACGCGTCTACTTTAGTGAACAGAACCTGCATATGTTGCGAGTAACAGGTAATACAGTTGTAAATAATATTCAGTTTGTGGCACAAAGTGATCATTTGGAAGACGCGTGCGAAGTATGAACAAGCACTTAGCAGTCAAAATGAAACCGAAAGTCATTTAAATAATCATATCGCATTTTAGAGTTATGATTACGGCAAGCATTTGATGTTTTTTCTTTCATAGCGAACACACAGTTGTGCATGAAAATAAATGTTTACAGTGTCAGTATAACTACTCTAGCCTATATATTGTTGAATATAATCTGATAATGGCAAATGTCTGATTTTACCAGTGAATAAAATCGTCTAATATGAAAGATTGCAAGCATATATCTCAAACATAATAATTCAACATCAGAATTATTATAAGTAGAATAGAATTATTTACAGAAACCAGTAGACCTACACATAATATTGAAATCGCTGTTGTGCCATATGTTTGTTTTTACCATACCTTTCTTTTACATCTAGAGAATTGTGAGAAAATCGTGATCTTTATTTTAAGCCAAAGAATTGCGATTCTCATTTTAGCCAGAATCGTGCAGCTCTAGTCTGATATGATATCTCAAGCTCTGGCAATAAACATTATTTGTATCTGTTTTATCTGCCTCCTCCTATAGCTATGGAAAGCGCCACATGTCAAGGTTTCACTTTAGATTTCTTTACTAGTTCCTTCTAAAAGCCTGCAACATTATCTAAGTATAACATTCATAACCAGACTAAACTAATAAATGTTACAATTGTTTTATTTAATAAATAAGTCTTCCCCAATGTCACATTATTGCTTTGGTTGTGTATTAATCCAAATTTAAAGACCCCATGAAATCTTTTGTAATCTGTGTTACAGGTAAGGTAAATATCACAGATGCTAGCACAATCATAACTAGCTGACACTGTGGAAAAGAAAGTGACATTTTTTGTGTCACTTCTTATTACTGATTTATTTTTGCATGTTTGTCACACTTTGATGTTTCAGAAAATGTAAATATTAGTCAAAGATTACACAAGTGACATGCAGTTTGTAAATGAAGACTTTGAAGACTGTGATGAATGGAATCATGAATTCTGTTGTGTTCCAAAATATCCTGAATGAGAATAAGAATGTCCAGACAGCTATCTGTTAGTGACCTCAAGCGAACTTGGGTTCTGCAGCACGATAACACTGCTAAGCACTCTAGCCAGTCCACTTCTGAATGCCTGAGGAAAAACAAAATGGTGTGGCCTCCGTCCTGACCTGAATTTAGTTAAGATGCTGTAACATCCAGGTTTCTGTTTTTTGTATGTTACAGTTCTGTTTTCATGTCACTTCCTGCTCACCTTAGTTGACCCTTTAATCTTGTTAGCCTTTGAGTTAAATGTCTCCACCCTCTTGTCAGCTTGTTTAGTTAATTGTTTTCTTGTGTATTTATACCCTGCTCTTAGCACTTTGTAGTCATTCGTTTTTGTCTGCGTTTCTCTAGTTGCTTTGCTTAGTTTTAGTTTGTTTAAATAAATGTTTGTTTGGCTGCATCTGGACGCGCACCTTTGATTATTCCCCGCTTTTCGCCAGACGTAACCGATGCAGTGGCATGAGCTTAAAATGTCTGTCCATGCTTAAAAAACTCTTTGTGGCTGAATTACAACAATTCTGAAAAGATATGTGGACCAAAATTCCTCTACAACGCAATAAACAGACTCAATGTGAGTTGTAAAAAAAAAATTGCAGTTTTTACTGCTAAAGGTGGCTAAACCAGTTTTTATTTATCTTTTACACAGGGCTTTGTAAGTTTGTATTTTGTTTTCTCTTAAAAATAAAAACCTTAGATCCAAAATTGCTTAATGTGTTTACCTGTGTTATCTTTGACTAATATTTAGGCTGGCTTGTGAAGCAAGCCAGACTACTGAAATCCTACTTAAACTTATTATTTTTTTTTATTATTATTATTATTCTGAGACTAAATTTCACACTCTATCTCCTCCAAGGCCTTTCAAGCTACGACCATCTAACTCGGGTCAGACCTCCGAACCATTCTGACTCGAGTTGCTATATCTTTACCGACTGATCCGACTTTCGGTTTTCCAAAAAACGTCTCGGGACCGTCAGAAAAATCCCATAAACATAACATTGGATCAAACTTTGTGACCTCATAACTCCGCGTCAGAATGTCACACAGACTTCTAACTTGGCTCATTTAACTCAGACTATCAAACTGCCAATGTTGTAGAGGTTCAGATTGATATCATCATGCTGCAGTGTGATAGAGACATGGGGGTTGTTTTTAACTGTTCATACTGGCAAGAACCTTTGATACATCATCAGTCTAAGCTGTCAATCAACTCCATAGCAACAAAACAGACTAAACTAGCAACGATATAACAGCAGCTGTATCTCAGCATCAGAACATCGTAGAGAAGTGGGGGTTTGCTAGTTTGACTCATGCTAGCACACCATCTATCTATCTATCTATCCATCCATCCATCCATCCATCCATCCATCTATCTTTCTATCTATCTATCTATCTATCTATCTATCTATCTATCTATCTATCTATCTATCTATCTATCTATCTATCTATCTATCTATCTATCTATCTATCTATCTACCATCAGGGTTTCACAAGCCAGCCTCAAAGTTTGTTCTCAAACTTTAAGAATCTAGTTACATTTGTTGTGATGATCTGATACATTCATGTGTTACAAACATGCAAAAAATAAAAAATCATTAAGGGGCAAACACTTTTTTACACCAATCTGTGCCTACAAACACAAAATCCAGTGATTAGCCTGTTTGATTTGCTTAACTTTTTAGGACTAATCTATCTAGGATGTCAAGTGTACAAACTAAACACAGAAAGCACAGATTTTGCTTTCATGGTGTCTTTAACATTGGCTTTTGTTTTTAAACAAATAACAAGCAGCAGTTTAATCTGATAAATGGCCAAGGTAAGTACAGGAAGTATGGCAATAATGTATACTGTAAAACAAATTCCAGATTTTCACAATGTTACTGTAATATTTCACAGTAAATTACATTAGTATAACTTTACAGAAATTAAACCGTAAAAATGTACAGTAATGTGTTGTATTCAAATTTAATTTTGTAAGTTAATCAAGTTAGCATGATTGCAGCAAATTACTGTAAAATGGGCTATATCTTTTGCATGTTAGTTATAGGAAATCAAACTCTTTTTATTTCATTCAACATAGACATTAATAATTGGCACTTTTCAATATTTAGAAATAACAAAATTGCAGCCCCAGAAACAGTTTGGAAAGAAAATCCTCCTGTTTTGAAATGACATGAATGTCATAGTAAATTTTCATTTTTGGGTGCACTGCATCTTTTTTTAATTTTATAAGGTTAACATGGAAATATTTAATACTATTTAGTAAACATAACAATGTGCTAAGCCAAAAACTTAATAAACTGGAACAGAAATAATTGAATCATAAAACCAAACACTGTTAAACACCCAAAATGATTTCAGACTCAGGGTAAATGTCAGAATGACTATCCGAGGAAAACCAGCTTTACAGTAAAATATAGTTAATTCTACAAGATAATACCATAAAAATCGCAGTAATGAACTTTACTACCTGCTGTGAAGTTTCACTATATAGCTGTAATTTCACAGTTATGTAATGTAACAAAATTACTGTGAGGTAGTTAACAGTAATTTTACATGCAGTATTCTACTGTGAAATAAATGCAATTATTAGCCAGTAATTTACTGTGAATTTAAGGTCAAGTTTTTCACAGTGTATATTATAAACGTTAGCTTTTAAGTGTGCAACATAATGGCAACTGGGTTTCTTTCATCTCCAGGCTCGTCAATGAGAATGAAGTCAAACAGTGGCGAGACCAAGCAGAAAAATTCAGAAAAGGTAACAGAGTACAGTCATTTTGTAGCTCAACCTGACTGAAGTAATGTAACAAATAACACACGTGTGTTTATAGAGCATGTAGAGCTGATGACTCGGCTGGAAAGGAAAGACAGGGAGTGTGAAACCAAGACTCAAGAAAAAGAGGATATGATGAAAACACTCAACAAGATGAAGGACAAGTTGCAGAGAGAAGGAGTGGAGTTACGTTCTGCCAAAGAACAAGTACTGGACATGTCCTCCCGCATTAGCGATATTTCAGTGAGTTTACTGTTTGTGACTTCCTTCTTGTGTTCTATGGTTGTTTGAGTTGCATATAGTCAAAGTTTCTTAACAAATGAAATGTACTCACTATTTATTCACCCTTAAGTGGTTCCAAACCTCCAGTTTAGGTTCAGTTCATAACACAGTTCAGATTTTTTTTATTGTAATGTGTTCAAAAGTGTTATTTTGGGGGCATGTACACAGCTCGCTGTTTTAAGGGTGTGTTGCTTTACATAAGTTTCAACTTCCCGCCCAACGTAACAAGGGGGCGGAGCCAAGAGCTCCCCTACTCTGTATTTGCAGCAGACAAGCAGACAGAGAGAAGCTACAAGAGTGAGAGGATCAGCATTCACCAGTGCATGTACGCCTCAGACACAGACCAAGCAGAGAGTACACAATCATTAGTGTCTTCGCATAGTTTTACAGCCAACTGTGTGCTGGTTTAAATTGCAGAGCTTGTACACTGAGACTAATAACCACGCACACTGAATTAACTTTGACTGAGGCACCAGAGCCGTGACACAGCACACTCAGACACGCACATTCGCATGTTATTTCAAGAGTTCGCCCTTAGCTGAGGATTGATTATGGAGCTTGTTTGGCATGCTGTCCCGGGAGAGAGCCCTGAACTCGTGAGATCCTCGTGCCCGGGGCTCCCTCCCGTTGCAGAGCGAGAGGGGAGTCCGAGTTCAGGTAGGTCTCGAGAACTCCCCTGCTTGATAATGTTGGAAGTAGATTAATGCTATGGAGTGTCTATGCTGTCAATTTAGATTTGTCAATTTACTTATGTTACATGTTTTTGGTCTGTGGGAGGAAACCGGAGAGCCAGGTAAAAAACCCACGCAAACACGAGGAGAACATGCAAATTCCCCACAGAAATGCCGACCTGGCCAGGAAGTGTCCGAGCCGGTGACATTCTTGCTGTGCGGCCGTGGTGCTAACCACTAGGCCTCTGTGCTGCCCTGACAAGGAAATGGGAGGAGTAGGGGTGGAAGGGGGGATTCTTCAAGACGAAGATGGCTGATGTAAGATACTCTGGTTATTTACAGTGGTTAAGGAGTCGTCTGATTGGTAAATCAGTGTTAGCTAATGTGGACCAGGTGGTATCAATCATAAGCACGTGCTCCTCTCGAAATTAGTTTATAAATAAACTTCACTTAAAATGAAACTATTCAGATGGCGCTCTGTGGCGCGGCAGAAACATGAAGTGTCCCGAATCGTGGCTGGGCGCCGTGGACAGCCGCCGAATTGAAGCGCCGTTGTGTGTACCCTGATAGAAACCTATGTTTAGAATTCTAAAATGCATGGCGCTGCGTGGCGCGACGGCATTTCTGGAGGCAAGTTTGTTATTTTATTTCCAATGGAGAGACACACACATGAAGCAAAGCGCAGGCAACAGCTGCACCTAGTTAAGATCACAGGGAGCTTCTGTGAACACGAGAAAAGCGAACGGCTGAAGTTTAAGGTAGACTCAATGAAAAGTACACATGTTTGAAAACCTACCTAAAGTTACAAACAATAATTCAGATTAAAGCAATAATGTGGATAGTATTAATGTTGTGTTGAGCCCAATGAGCCTTACATTTAAAAATAGAGCAAGGGTGTTCCTTTAGTGACATCGCTTTGACTCACACTGTGAAAATGGCGGACGTGGAACAACAAACTGAGGATATGGTGATGCGCCTGTCAATCAATAATGGTGGGTGGGGAGACCGCACTCCTACGTCAAGTTGGGGTCGATCTAAAAATCGCTCCAATGGGCCCACCGTTTTTATGTTGTTAAATTGAAAAAAAAAGCACTGGGTGTGTTTATATCACCCCGATATGATGGTCTATACACTATACCTACACACATGTCTGTTCAAACAGCTTAAAGTAGATTTTTCACCATAGGTGCCCTTTAATGTTAATGTTAGAGCTTCCATGATAAGGTTTTTACCAATTGCAAATATTTTAATCATGAGTTATGTGTGATGAATTATACCTTCATACAACTTTGTTCAAATTTTTTTACATAAATTATATGATTATTGATAATGTTATTCAATGTATTATATACAGTGATGTCAAAATTATTAGACCTCCTTTGATTTTTTTTGTTCTTTTCTTTTTTCGTAATGTGGTCCCACTTTATATTAAGTGTCCTTAACTACTATGTACTTGCATCAAAAAATAAATACAATGTACTCACTGTGTTCATAATGTATTTGAGAACACTTGTGGTGCTTTTGAGTTGGGATAAAGGTTGGGTTATGGACAGGTTTGGTGGCGTGGGTAGGTTTAAGGGTGGGTTAAAGTGTAAGGGATGGTCAACAGTGTATTTACAAATGTAATTAAAGAAGTTAATTACAGATGTAATTACATACAGGTACTTAATCAAGCATAAGTACACAGTAAATACATGTATTTACACAATAAGTACATTGTAACAAACTATTAATTCCTGTGTAAGTACATATTAGTTAAGGCCACTTAATATAAAGTGGGACCCGTAATGTTTAACAGAGCAAGGATATTTTTCACAGTATATACAAATTTTTTGGTTTTTAAGAAAGTCTTACTTGTTTTATTTAGGCTAAAATAAAGCCGTTTTTATTAAAAAAAATAAATAAAAAAAACTTTTAAGGTTATTATTATTAGCCCCTTAAGCAAAATTTTGTTAATTGCTACAGAAAAAAACACTGTTATACAACGAATTGTCTAAATACGATAACTTGCCAAATAAACTTAATTAACCATATTAATCCTTTAAATTGCATTTTATGCTGAATACTAGTATCTTAAAAAATATCTAGTCAAATATTATTTACTGTCATCATGGCAAAAATAAAATCAATAAGTCATTAGAATTTAGTTATTAAAAGTATTATGTTAGGAAATGTATAAACTTAAAAATAAGCTAATTTAAATTCAACAGTATATGTATATCAACTGTATTAAACTATGTATATATTATTTTTGGTAACACTTTATAATAACTACACACTATGAATTCATATAAATATCTGTTGAATATTACAGTAACTTTACATTCATAGACGTTAGTACGCAGCTTATAAATATTTAAGAATATTTTTTTCTCACGTCCTCAGGAAGGATGAGGGAGCGTGGACTCAAGGGCAAAACAAGATGGATTTATTAATAATAAAAATATAACAAAAAGTCAACACAAACCACCCCGAGCGGGAAAAACATAACTAAAACACAAAAAGGCAAACGGACATGGGTGGGCAGGGCTGGACATGACAAGACTGGAAACAGCACAAGATGAACCACGTATGCAGGATATATGATGAACTGGCACAGGACAGCAGACACGAGGAGACTATAAACAGAAATAATTAACAGACAAACAGCTGAACATAATACACTAATAATGAGTTAACAAAGATGGTACCACCTCAGAAAAAAATTGTCTCTCCAAGTACCACCATAATGACCAGTGTTAAAATACAGTAGCGTAGTAGGCCTAACTAAACAGCTACAGCTGTGCACAGTTCAAAAACAAGGCAGATTAATTCATATTATTATGAATATTTATGAATATAAATGGTTTAAACATTAACAATGCTTTTGACAGCAATGCCCTTGACATCGGCCATATTGCGCCAGATCGCAAACCACACACCAGCTGATTGGTGGAGACAGAGTAATGAAGCCATTTATGATATGGGGATGGTTAGGAGGCCATGATGGACAGAGTCCAGTGGGCAGATTTGGCCAGGATGCCGGGGTTAAACCCCTACTCTTTTTTTCAAATGACATCCAAAGATTTTTAACGAGCACAGAGAGTCAGGACCTAGGTTTAATGTCTCATCCGAAAGACGGCGCTCACTAAGCAGTATAGAGTCCCCATCTATATACTGGGGCAGTATATGGGGTTGAGCGCCCCCTGCTGGTCTCACTTACACCACTTCCGGCAGCAACCAAGCTTTCCCATGTGGTCTCCCATCCAGGTACTGACCGGGCACAGCCCTAGCTTCAGTGGGTGACCATGTGAGAGTTGCAGAGAGCTAGCTGCCGGGAATTATAATTAAAAAGTATTACCTTTTTTTTATTATTATTATATTTGTTTTGTAGGCGAAGCAGTGGCGCAGTAGGTAGTGCTGTCGCCTCATAGCAAGAAGGTCGCTGGGTCTTGCCTCGGCTCAGTTGGCATTTCTGTGTGGAGTTTGCATGTTCTCCCTGCTTTCGCGTGGGTTTCCTCCGGGTGCTCTGGTTTCCCCCAAAGTCCAAAGACATGCGGTACAGGTGAATTGGGTAGACTAAATTGTCCGTAGTGTATGAGTGTGTGTGTGGATGTTTCCCAGAGATGGGTTGCGGCTGGAATGGCATCCGCTGCGTAAAAAAAACTTGCTGGATAAGTTGGGGGTTCATTCCGCTGTGGTGACCGCGGATTAATAAAGGGACTAGGCCGACAAGAAAATAAATGAATGAATGAATGAATAAATATTTGTTTTGTTTTTTTCAGTATGTTGGAGTTCCCTTACCCTTTCCTCATCCGCTCCCTGGCAGCCCAATGCCACCCCCTCCACCTTCACCACCTATCATGTTGGGTGGCTCTCCTCTTCTTTTTCCTCCTCCTCCTCCTCCACCACCTCCTCCCCTTCTTCATCCCCCTCCTCCTCCTCCACCTCCACTTCTTCCACCTCTTCCTCCATCTTTTGCTTTCTCTAGTCCACCTCCACCCCCTCCTCCACCCTCTTTTGGATGTCCTCAACCTCCACCTGGAGCCCCGCCCATCTTTTCTGGGATTCCACCTGGACCTGCTTCAAATAGCTCCACAACCAGCCCGCAGACAAAGAGTATCCCCCAACCCTCACAACCACTCAAATCCTTTAACTGGTCCAAACTGGGAGGGGTAAGTCAGTCATGAGATCCTCCTGAGGCCTTACATGTTATGATTGCTTTCCGATTAATTGATTGCATTTTACCAATCCTCAATTTCTCACTCTTGAGGTTAATGCAAAAATTTTATCTGACAGTTATTGTTTGATACTAATGCTTAATTGTAGTATGTTCATAGCTCATTTTTCTATAACTCTTGCAGAATGAGATCACTGACACCATCTGGTATGGGATTGATGACAGAAGGGCCTTTAAAGTTCTTGACCTGAAAGATATCGAGAAGATGTTTTCAGCTTATCAGAGGCAGCAAGTATGCAAGTGTGCGAGTTGTATCTTCAATGTGTGCTTTCGATATCAATCAGTTAATATAGAGAAATATTTCTAGAATAATTTTTAGTCGTAATATCTATAAACCTCATGGCACAGTCACTAAGCAGCTCTTTTTTTCAGAATTGTAATACAGATGCCTTAGTGCTTTGGGCAAGAAATGGTGTTTTGGTGCATTTAGAATAGAAATGTTTCGACATTTGTTTTTGTCATAACAGCTTAACATTACGAAGACAACAAAACTTGTCATAAATCTGTCATAAACATGACTGTCGTGAGGCCATTTTAACGGTCAGGAATTTGCTAACAGCATTATTAATATTTCTCTTGATCTCAAGTAAAGTATGCGAATTGAATTTGTTGTTAAAATGACAGTAAATGTCATTAAATATTAATGATGCTGTTATAAAATTATTTGACAAACTATTGGTCATTTTACTGAGAAATGAATTTGTCACAGTTCGGGAAGGATGAGGGAGCGAGGACCCGATTGCAGACAAAATAATTTATTATAAAATAAAACATGAAGGTAAAACAAACTACCCCGAGGGCAAAAACATGAATCAAAAGACAAAAAAACAAACTTGACTGGGCTAGCAAGACAAGGCAGGGCTGGACACAACAGGGGTCCGTTCTTTGTACGTGGATTACTCAGTTAGCTGGATTTGGATATTGATGATTTGACACGATCCAGGACCGTTTCGTTCTTCAAAGCTGATCCGAGAGTTGTTGTCATAGCAACAGTTCTGCTAGGTCAAACCTGATCAGAAGCAGGTTCAATTCATATAAACAGGATTAGATCGGCTTAGTTCAAGCAAAGATAATACTGAAAGTATGTTCCGAATTCTGATATTTTCTTACAGTAGTAGTTATATACACTTGGGAAATGGTACATATTTTTTAACCATATATATAAAGTTATAGTCATTAATAAAATAAATTAAGTTATACATATTAATAAAACGTATGCAATCTGCACCCTCGAAATGAAAGTACAAAGATTGCCACCTGGTGGTGCAAAGAGAAAACTTATTGATATGAACTTTTTAGATCGGTTTAGTACAAATTGTTTATAATAATAGAAATGCAGAATATGTGACTTTTTTTAAAGCAATAATACATTTATGCAGTTATAAACATGTTTTGATAGTTAATATGCCGGTGATTTGATGCTTCACAAAAGTTGCAGATACCTTTACCAATATGAAAACGCTTTTCTAAATAACCAGTTATTCTTTACACCGATTTAAAAAACGGCTACTATAATAAAGAAAATATTTTCTAAATGTGGAACTAAATACATTGATTTGCATTGAAATACATGATGAATACTCTTGTCTTGACACATGAAAGTGTAAAGCCTGCAGCTCACAACAAATGTGTTAGGTTATTGCGTGTCATATTTAACAAGCCGTTTACTGCTAATTTGATGTAAATTTGCTCACATGGATAATTGAATATTAATCAGATGATGTCATTACGCTGCTGTGCCATCAGCCAATCGTTGCATTGCTGATCATGTTTTCGATGATCGATAGATCTGTCCTTCACAACACACGCAGCAATCTCAGATCAGCTTATCCAGACATTCTAATCTGATTTGCAAACTCGTTTGAAGAATCAAATTAGCGAGATATCAGTTATCAAGATTAAAAGATCCAGGATCTGCCAAATAATCTTAGATCATTTAAGCGAGGTACGAAGAACGGACCCCAGGCCAGGTAAAGATTGACGACGAACTGGTGCAGGAGGACGGCAGACATGAGGGGAATATAAACAAAAGTAAATTAACACACAAACAGATGGACATAATTAACTAATAATGGGTTAACAATGAGGGTGGGACTAGACAATAGACGGGAGAGCACATGACACAGACACAACACAAGCCATGTGCTCACATAAAACGGGACAAGAACACATAGCCAATTAGAGAAATCATTAACCATGCGTTCACAATAACAGGACAAGACTGAAGTGCGCGGCCACAACTTAAACGCAGACACCCTGACATGAATGACACTAATGGACGATGATGTTTATGGTTTGTGAAGTTGTATCAGTAATGTCAAGTTATCATGACAAAGACACTGACAGGTTATGATATGTTTCAAGTTGTCGTAGAAAAGACATGTCAAACAATCTCATCTTTGCATTTCAATAGACATACCTGAGCGAATCACACTTAATGACAGTTGTCATAAGCATGCATAACATATCCTTCATATTCATGACACACAGAATAACTTCTGGAATGATTTTTTAGGCTGAACATCTATGCTTTGTGATAGAAAAAGAACCACCATTTTGAGTCACTAAAGCAGCTGTTCTTTACTGAATTGTTATATACTGTAGATCAGGGGTCACCAAACTTGTTCCTGGACGTCCGGTGTCCTGCAGATTTTAGCTTCAACCCTAATCAAACACAAGCTAATCAAGGTCTTACTAGGTATACTTGAAACATCCAGGCAGGTGTGTTGAGGCAAGTTGGAGCTAAACCCTGCAGGGCGCCGGCCCTCCAGAAACGAGATTGGTGACCCCTGCTGTAGATACCTGAGTGCTTTGTGCAATAAGAAGTGTTTCAGTGCAGAAATGCTGCAGATATTCTATCATCTCCTGATATTGACTTTATCAGAGTTATTTTTTTTTAATGATAGCTGTAATTAACGTGTTGTGTGAGATTCTGAGGCCTGCAAGAAGTTATTTTTGTCTTTTGTTCCTTTCTCTACTACAGGAGGTGCTCACTTATCCCTTTTTTTTTTTTTTGGCGAGTGACATCTGATCACTGTTTATTATTAATTTGAATGTAAAGACAGTATTAAATCAAATCACTTACTGTCACATCATCAGCAGCACTTGTGAAAAGTGAAAAGCTTAGGTTCTGGCAGCAGACAAATACAACGACAGTGCAAACAGACAGTGCAAAATACAACATACTCCCAAAAACAACCCAAGCTCATTCTGAAAACGTAGTCCCGCGGACGTTTCCGGAGACAGCGGAATACGTCCCGCGGGGTACGTACGGCCGCGTTTATTTTTTTTCAAACGAACGCTGCGGGGCGGTGTGACGCTGTTCCCTTTCGCGCTTGCCTTACCTCCTTGTGGAGGGCTTCCCCGCTGCAACCCGTTTGTCCACTCAGCTCAGCGTGTACGTCGGCAGGCTTGAGATGCAGAGAGGGGTCGACCACGGCGACCGATTCAAGTCCGGGGAAGAGCAGTTCCAGCAATCAGGTAAGACAAAAACAGAATCCCAAAAATTAAGTGAACAAGTTTCGTGACAGGGTGAGAACGCGGCGAAATCCGAAAACGCGGTTTTATTTTTTTGGACGGCTTTTGTGAACTGTTGCTCGGGTTTAGGGAAGCGAGCGGGCGGGCGGGTCGATCGGTAAAATTGGTTGGGTTCAGGGAAGGAGGAGGGCGGGTCGGCCGATTGACCGGTCGCGCAATCAATCATCCGGTCAGTTGGACAGCAGCCTCCGGCGGGTTCACGCGAGAACAGAGGCGTCTGAGGTGCGAAAAAGCGTGGAACAGCGGCCTCTCGCGGATTCGCGCAAACAAAAACTGCAGCCGTACGTAACCGCCGGGACGTATTCCGCGATCTCAGAAACGTCCGCGGGACTACGTTTCCACAATGAGCCTGGGTTGCCCAAAAAACAAGACAATGTACAGTTGGCAATGTTGACAGTAACTAGTTGAAGATAATGAATAGGTATACACATAGGCTGACTGTTGGTGGAAAATTCTTCTAAATGATTACTTTTCTACAACAACTAGAGGTCAACTTTTTGATAATGAGCTGCTCATCTAGTGTTCAGATATAAGATTGTAATAGCAAACAGATATTGGCTAAATGACTGTAACTAAGATTTTACTGTTGAATCAAATGTAGCTGAGGCATGTTTTGGACAGAAATTACCTTCCACCTATCCCTCATTCTTTGTTACAGCTCAAAGAGAGCTGCAGGGGTCTGTGTGGACTGAGTATGCTCTCTTGGACCACCATGGAGTTACATGACTAACCTCATTGAGCATTCACAGAACAGGAAACGGTCTGGATCTATAAATAGATAAATGTTTTCCATGAAAAAGCCAAGTGACTTTCAAGCATCTGTGATGCTTCAGCTGCATATTCATGGTGGAATAGTGTTCTGAATAGTGGCGTTTTGAGATACACTTAGAAGGTTATATATACATGTACTGTATATTGTGTTTACTTCTCAATGCACCCATTGAAATATCAGATTCAGCTAAGACAAAAAACTGATTAAAAACAATAACAAAAGTGTCCCAATTGAAACTTTGATTATTTAAAAAATATTACATTATTTTTAACATTTCATTAGCAGAAAGTGAATCCAAACCATCCTGTTGATTGTTTTTTCCTCGCTCTTTTGCAGAAAGAGACAGGATCAATGGATGACCTTAATCTGAGTGCACGCAAAGTCAAAGAGCTATCTGTCATTGACGGCCGGAGGGCCCAGAACTGTGTCATTTTGCTTTCCAAGTATGTACATTTCCCCAATTCAGCATTGCTGATATATTGTATATTGTTAATGTCAACTTACTCCTTGTCTTGGACAAGAATAAGCTAATTGGTTATTAGTAGGAGATGAGATATTTAGACCCCCACCCCCAAAATCTCATTTGGCAACACTTTTAAATAAATCACTTTAATAAAACAAAATGCACACACACACACAAACACACACACACACACACACACACACACACATATATATACACATACATACATACACATACATACATATATATATATATATATATATATATATATATATATATATATATATATATATATATATACATTTGAATTATTAGCCCCAATAATATTTTTTTCTTCTTTTTTAAATATTTTCCAAATGATGTGTAACAGAGCATTTTCACAATATGTCTGATAATATTTTTTCTTCTGGAGAAAGTCTTGTTTGTTTTATTTAGGCTACAATAAAAGCAGTTTTAAAACTTTTACAATCCGTTTTAGGGACAAAATTATAACTTAATATAAGTTATATTTTCTCAATATTCTACAGAACAAACCATCGTTATACAATAACTTGCCTAATTACCCTAGTTAACTACCTGCCTTGTTAACCTAATTAACCTAGTTAAGCTTTTAAATGTCCCTTTAAGCTGCATAGAAGTGTCTTGAAAAATATCTAAATAAATATTATTTACTGTCATCATGACAAAGATAAAAAAAAATCAGTTATTAGAAATGAGTTATTAAAATTATTATGTTTAGAAATGTGTTGAAAAAATCTCTCCGTTACACAGAAATTGGGAAAAAATAAATAAACAAGCGGTCTAATAATTCATATATATATATATATATATATATATATATATATATATATATATATATATATATATATATATATATATATATATATATATATATATATATATATATATATATATATATATATATATATATATATATATATATATATATATATATATATATATATATATATATATATATATATATATATATATATATATATATATATATATATATATATATATATATATATATATATATATATATATATAT